GGTTGGGTTGAGTTGGGTTGGTTGGGTTGGGTTGGGTTGAGGTCTCACCAGACGGTTGAAGAGCTCCCGGAGCTGACGAGCTTCATCACCCAAACGAGCTGCCACCCTGGAGCGCATCTTGGCCGAGGTGCAGACCAAGCGGACCTGGAGCAATGGGCGGACGTACTCAATGAGGACCCGGCGATGGACCTCGCTCACCAGCACCTATGGGAGATGTTGGGTCAGAAGAAGTCAACCAGAAGAAGAGTTGGGTTGTCCAACCTCAAGGGTGTTGGAGGTGGAACCCACCTGGTAGGGTTCAGGGAGGAGAGGACGAAGCTTCTGGGTGAAGCTGGTGATGATCATGACGATGGTGTCAAAGGCGTCGGAGCTCGTCAGCCACTTGCGCTTCATCAGCTTGTTGAAGTAGGGCTGGAAGGGGGGACAACGTGGGTGGGCAGATGGTCTGGCACCCATGGGTGGTGTCATGGGTGGTGATCAGTGGGTGGGAGGTCATCTAGAGTGTTGGAGTCATGGGTGTCATCTAGATCGGTGACCAAGTGATGGGCACCGTGGGCATTGAACCCATGGGTGTCACTCAACTCAACACCCAACTGATGGGCACCATGATCATTGCACCCATGGGTGTCAGCACCCAACTGATGGTCACCATGACCATAGCACCCAACAGATGATGACCATGACCATTGCACCCAACTGATGGTCACCATGACCATTGCACCCATGGGTGTCAGCACCCAACCAATGATCACCAAGACCATTGCACCCAACCAATGGTCCTGGTGACCATCACACCCATGGGTGTCAGAACCCAACCAGTGGTCACCATGACCATACCCATGAGTGTCACTCAACTCAACACCCAACCAATGGTCACCATGACCATCCCACCCAATGGTCCCCATGACCATCACTCCCAACCAGTGGTCACCATGACCATCACACCCATGGGCATTAACACCCAATAGATGGTCACCATGATCATTGCACCCATGGGCGTCAGCACCCAACCAATGGTCACCATGACCATACCCATGAGTGTCACTCAACTCAACACCCAACCAATGGCCACCATGACCATTGCACCCAACTGATGGTCGCCATGACCATCACACCCATGGGTGTTACTCAACTCAACACCCAACCCATGGTCACCATGACCATTGCACCCAACTGATGGTCACCATGACCATCACACCCATGGATGTCATCACCCAATGGACAATCACCCTTCCCACCACCCGACACCCCCTCCCCTCCCCATGGTGGGCACCTTGAGGTCCTCGAAGAGCCGTTGGGTGAGGACGTGGTTGCAGAGCCGCGTCACCTTGTCCAGGGCGCCGTGCGCCTGTCGCCGCAGCTCCTCGCTCTCCGGGTGCCCAAACTGCGCCAGGCGCTCGGCGAAGGTCCTACCACGGGGTGGGGGGGGTCAATGGGTGCTACTGGGGACCCCGAGCACCCTGAGCACCCCAGAAGGTTGATGGGGTCTGGGGGGGGTTGTCCCCTCACCTGAAGGGGGGGCAGCAGTTGACCAGGGCGATGGCCCGGCTGGTGGGACCATCGGGTGGGGTGGATTCACCGGGGGCTTCCAGGAAACGTTCAACCTTGCGCTGGAAACTGGGGGGGCACCCATGGGTGTCACCTGCGCTGGCACCCTG